AATTGAATTTTAAATAATAACTTATAAAAGCACAGCTTCTCCTTGGAGATTACTCTTACCTATTGAGTGCCACGGTGCAATGGAAACTATACAAAACAGAGGAAAACCTGGTGCCTGCTCCAAAGAGCTTACAATCAATAGGATAGACGTGTTACCCTGCTAATGTTTAAAATATGTAATGTTGTAACTGCTGGGATCTGGTGCCATGGTGAAATGGCTAGAATACAGGACTGAGAACCAGGGCCCCTCAAATTCTGATTCTGTGTCTGAATCAAATTAAAAATATTTTATGGAATGGTAAACTACACAAATGTTGCCACAATACTTTAATTTAAAAAAAAAAAAAGACACTCTTGTGTTCTGAATCAGAGGTATCACATACAGAAACTTTCTGGCTTTGATCAAGTCACTTATCTTCATTGCCTCCGGGTTTTTTTAAATGCTTATAAATGGACAGTGTCAACTTAAAAAAAAAAATTTAACTCGTGTGAATTTGGTCCATCAGTGTTACATCCAAGTTCAATGTAACTAAAAGAGATAAAGGAAATATATATCTTTTTCTCTCTGTCTTGAACTTTTAGTGGTGCTTTCTGGGTCATCTCTTTCGGTACAGTCCATTTCCCCGGTTGTTTTTGTGAGGCTTTCACACAGCAACAGGAGAGAAAATATGTTTTAAAAAATGGGAATATGTGATTGTACAACTGCAGAAACTGATAAGAGGATTCAGGAGCTGAGTGAGAATCATAGAATATCAGGGTTGGAAGGGACCTCAGGAGGTATCTAGTCCAACCCCCTGCTCAAAGCAGGACCAATTCCCATCTAAATCATCAATTCCCAACTAAATCATAGAAATAGAGTTTAGGGAGCCCTGGTTCCCAGTCCTGGATTGTAGTCACTTCACCATGGTGAATCTAAAACTGCTTTAAATATTTTTTTAATTAATTAGATTTCAAGTTGATGATGGCTTTTTAAAAAAAACACAGAACAAATCATGAATTGTTGGGGTGATATCAGGATTGGTAGGCTGGTGAAGGAAGATTAGGGCAGGTTCCAGATTGAGAACCACTGGTGACTGAAATCCTTTGTGTATTTCCGCAATAGATGCAGAATAGGTAGCAGCAAATTAAGCTTCTCCATGCTCCTCTCTGACGGTATGCCTGGCTCTTGAGCATGAAGAGCTCCCTCTAACAGAGAGATGGGCGTTCAGTCTCCATGGTCAATAAATAAACTTGGCCTCTGTTGAGACTGCCAACAAAGGGGCCTCAATTAGCACCAAATATGATGGTTTGCTTTGTGGCCACTCCATTGGGAACTGGAATGAAAACCTCAAACTCCCTTCAACCACAGCCACTGAACTGGTGTCAGATGGTAATATCTTCTGGTCATTCAAATCTGGCCCGAGTTGGTAATTGAAGATCTATATAGGTGAGGGGCTCTACATCCTATTCCCAGTCCCCTTAGCCATCTTCGTCACAGCACGGGAGGTTTAGGCTGGACAGTAGGAAAAACTTCCTAACTGTCAGGGTAGTTAAACACTGGGACATATTGCCTAGGGAGGTTGTGGAATCTCTGTTGTTGGATGTTTTTAAAAACAGGTTAGACAAACACCTGTCAGGAATGGTCTAGTTATTATGTAGTCCTGCCTTAAGTGCAGGGGATTGTACTAGATGACCTCTTGAGATCCCTTACGGTCCTACACTTCTCTGATTCTGGGTTCTGTGCTCACCCTACTATCTGTCAAAAGGAAACATTTTTGTTTCTCGCTGTCAAAAACTTCATAATGTTTTGGAGCAAGTCTAAGTCTGTGCTTTCCTGATGACAGGTCAAGAAGCCATTCAATTCCTGTTTAATAACCAAATAAAATGGCATCCAAACGGATCACACAGGAAACATTTGATGATGTGGTGCAAGAAAACATCACGGAATTTGAAATGGATCCAGATGAGGCTGCGAAAGAAGCTGTCCAGCAATTTGAATCTCAGGGTATTGCAAACCCATCTCACTCTGAAGCAATAAGGATATGACAGATATGTAATTAAAATGCTTTCAACATATTAAAAATCAGGGATCTGCTGAGCTTTTGGGTATGTGTTAGAAATGCTAACTTAGCTCTCATATAAGCCAGTTATGAGTGTTAAAGAATCCCAAAATATGTCCTCAGTTCTTTCTGGAAACTGGCTGCTAATAAAGGGAAGCACTTCTCTAAACCTTTTTGTTCTTTTTCCTATGGCACTTCAGTCTGAAAGATCCCAAAGCTCTTCAGAGAATCTGCATGTAAGGGTCAGTTGCCTGCCTCTAAAATGCAACCTCTTGTGAGGTGGGATGCAAAGTTGTTTACAACACCCCATTTTTAAGGAGCGGTCATGGTAGGAAAAACTGCTCAAGCTGAAACAGCAGGAGGGAATTTAGAGAGGCAGAATGAACCTTTTCCAAGTTGGAATTTAGCCTGAATTGCCCCTTACTTTTAAAAAAAGGTATTTTCTGATTGCAAATGGCCAAGACTTTGGTTTTGTATCCCTTCCAAAGGATATAACAAACATCCTAATAATCCATGCCTGTGTTTGTTAACCCTCAGTAAAAAGACATAAGCCTAATGTTCTTCACAGTTTTCACCAGAGTTCCTGTACACCTGCCTCCTTACTTCTCTCTTGCTTTTAGGTGTTGATCTGAGTACTATTGTAAAAGCTGCACGGAAACCCACCTCTGAAAATGGCCAAGAGCAAAAACACGACATTTTGCAGGTAGGAAATGTTAATTGTAGCTTTTCAACAAGCTGTGTGGTCTAGTGGTTCGAGTAAGGAGCTCTGGCTTCCACTTCTAACTCTGCCACTGACTCTCTATGAGCCCTGAGGAAGGGCTAACCTCACTGTGCTTTAACGCTTCCTCACTTGTCAAATGGGGATATTCATGTACCGGGTTAGCTCTTGAAGCACCTCAGGTGGAAGGTGCTATGTAAGTGCAAAATAATATTTCCTGGCCAGCAGGAGCAAGGAGTGCCTTGAGTAGCTTTCAGGCAGCCCCCTCTTGGCCAGAAGGAAGGGTCAGCCTGACATGAAACCTCTAGAGATGTTCTGAAAAGGGCATGAATAACATACATGGGATCACTGGCTAGTCTGAGGATTGGTAACATGATGTGGAGCCTTTCCCCTCTTGTCTTCGGTTCCAGTCTAGCCCTAGGTCAGCAGTGAGTATAACTTTGCCAAGAGGTGAACAGTGGGGTCCCTCAAGGATCTATGTTGTTCAACGTATTCATAAATGATTTGGGAAAGGGAGTGAACCGTGAAGTGGCAAAGTTTGCAGACTATTCAAGATAGTTAAATCCAAAGCAGACTGTGAGGGGTTACCGAGGGATCTTGCAAAACTCGGTGACTGGGCAACACAATGGCAGATGAAATTCAACATTGATAAATACAAAGTAACCTACTTGGGGGGAAAAAATAATCCCAACTACACATATACAATGATGGGTTCTAAACTAGCCGTGGCTTCCCAAGAAAGAGATCTTGGAGTCACCATGGATAGTTCTCTGAAAACTTCCACTCAGTGCGCAGCAGTGGTCAAAAAAGGCTAACAGTGTGTTAGAAACCCTTAGGACAGGGTAGAAAATAAGACAAAGTATCATAATGCCCCATTTAAATCCATGGTGCACCCACACCTGGAATATTGTCTAGTTCTTGTCTCCCTATCTCAAAAATGATATAGTGGAACTGGAAAAGGTTCAGAGAATTGCAACAAAGATGATCAAGGGTAGGGAATGGTTTCCATATGAGGAGAGACTAAAAAGATTAGGGTTGCTCATCTTAGAAAAGAGATGACCGGGGGGGGAGGGGGGGTGTAGAGGTCTATAAATTCACGAACGATGTGATAAATAAAGTGAGCAGAGAAGTGGTGTTTGCCCTTTCTCACAATACAAAAACCAGGGCTCGCCCAATGAAATTAGTAGGCAGCAGGTTTAAAACAAACAAGAGGAAATACTTTTTCACACAACACACAAATTGTTGTGAATGAAACCCATTGCCATGGATGTTGTAGTGGCCAGAGTATAACCGGGGTTCAAAAAAGAACTGGTTACATTTATGGAGGATAGGTCCATTAATGGCTATTCGCCAAATTGGTGAGGGACGCAGCGCCATGCTCGGGGAGACCCTACGCATCTGACTGCCAGACGAGGATAACAGGTGGATCGCTCCGTAATTGCCCGGTTCTAAACACTCCCCCTGAAGCGCTGGTACTGGCCACTGTCAAAGATGCGATACTGGGCAAGATGGACCATATTCGGACTCAGTATGGCAGCTCTTATGCTCTTATTTACTGATGCCTGTTTGTTGGCCTGAGTGAAATGAGTTAGTGGGATCCAGTCCACTTGCTAATGGGCAAGTTCGTCCACTTTACAAAAATCACCATTCGAAGAGGCATTTTCCAGGCAAAAGCTGCAGAGAGGCCAAGAGCTGAATGGGCCGTGGGGACTGAATTCCCCTTTCGTCCCTAGAGGTGGTCCCTGCACTCAGGAGCGAGGCATGCTGCAGGGGGAAGAGCAGTGCTAGGCCACCTCTGACCCCATTGTAGGGATGTAAATACCCATTAAAAAAGTTAACTGTTTAAACTATTAAAATGATCATTTAGTCGGTGAAAGGGAAAGGGGCTGGGGCCATTGGGGCTGCTGGGGTCGGCGGGCCGGGACTGGGCCAGGGCTAGGGGTTAATGGTTAGGGTTGGTTAACCGATAAGATTAATGCTTACCTGTTAGCCATTTAGTATTTTACATCCTTACCCCATTGTGTGCCTAAAGACTAATGGCTATCTCCTGGGCTGTCTGGTGTTTCTCATCATGCCAAATTTGCTTAAATTTAAGGAGTGAAATGGTTGTAAATATGCAGATGTGATGATCCAGTGGATTTTTTTCTCAGGAGATTTTGGGCAGAACACTAACCCTCATTTTCCTTCCTTAGACATTAGACTCACTCAGGAAATCCATTGCTGACTCTGCACTCAGTGAGGTCGGTGAGCAGCTAGTGCGCTTCAGTGAGCAATGCAGAGAACAGCTGGCTGTCCGCTACTTGGCTGGGCAGAAAGGTGCCTGTCCTGTGGTGCTGTCTGCCTGCAAGCTGGCCTCAGGAGACAGAAGTGCCATGCTCAAGGCCCTGCATGCTTTTTCTGCCCTCATGGATGGGCAGCCAGACCTGCTCGACTCTGCTGGCCAAGAGCTGTTGCTGCAAACGCTGAAGGAAAACGCAGATGACGCTGAAATGACGCTAGCTGGGATCCGGTGCATCCGACACGCCTGTCTGAAACATGAGCAGAACCGCCAGGAACTGGTGAAAGGTGGCATCCTGCCATTGCTGACGGGTGCCATTGTCCGGCATGGGGACTGTGCTGGGGTGGTCCGAGAGGCCTCCTCAGCGCTCCGGGTCATGACATTTGATGATGACATTCGTGTGCCCTTTGGCCAGGCCCATGATCACGCCAAGATGATTGTATCCGAAAACAACGGTTTAAGGATCCTCATAGAGGCTGCCAAAGGTAGTATTAATCCTTTGACTGCTGGTTCTTATCTCACGCCCTCTGTGCTCTCCTACCCCAAGGTCATGCTGCTTAATGGCAGGTGTAATTTTTAGTTCTTTGTGTGGCTGGTTAGTGGTCAGGGCAGAGGCCTGGGAGTTAGGACTCTGCGTTCTTTTCCCAGCTTTACCGCCAGCTCGCTGTGTGTGACCTTAACCTCTCTGGGCCTCAGGTGACCCCGTTATAAAATGGCACAAATAACTTGCTCACCTCCCGGGGAGGGTTTTGAAGTTTGCTGCTGCTAAAATGCTTTCAGATCCCCTGAAAGGTGCTGCAGACGGGCAGAGTATGGTCATTGCTCCAAAGGCAGCTGATGGGTCAGGATTTCAGTTTTCAGAGCTAACAGTCACCTGGGTAGAGAGCAGTGAACAACCCAGGCAATAGCTGTGTAAATTTATTCCACACGTGACATCCTGCCAGTGTGCCTCTCCCTAGGCCTGTGAGTCAAAAGGGAGGTGAAGCTCCATGGCTCATTCAATTCCTAGTCTGTGGTTTTTGAGTCTCAGTCAGTGTCAGTTATCATGGTGAGTTTTGGATCATGGACTCCTGCCCCACTAAGAACTGGCCTGAAATCTACCAGTTCATGCTTGGTCCTTCTTCTAAAACCCATGTGAAACTGATTCTGTCAGCTCCTCCTCCCCAGCTCCTCCTCATTTTCCTCCCTTGTCTTCCTCCTTCTGCAGCATTCACAGACGACTCCAGTGTTCTCCGTGAGCTTTGTGCCACCTTGGCTCGCCTGTCTGTCCGGAACGAGTTCTGTCAAGAGATTGTGGACCTTGGAGGCTTGAATTTCATGGTGGCCCTGCTGGCTGACTGCATTGACCATCAGGTACTGTCCCTCTTCAGTGAGTGGGATGCTTTCCTGGAAGAGAGGGTATTTACGGGTGGGGGTTGGGAATAATGTTGCCTAGTACGTAACATGGTGCACTTTCCAAACATGAATGAGCATTAGGCTTTGGTAACCTCTACCCGTGGGCTCTTACCACACAAATGGCACCGCTGATGCCCACTTACCACCTTCTACATTCTGGCACGCCACCCAAGGTTGCATGTGCTGAGTTGGAGGGAGAGCCAAGAAGAGCACCCAACACCCCGGTTCTAGCCTCTGTTCTATAAAGCCTCCCCGATCCAGGAATAGATCTAGTTCTCAGGAAAGCTGGAACATTGGCTATGCTCTACATACTCAGACTATCTCTGATTTTTCTAGGGAGTTGGGTGCCCAAATCCCACTGAATTTCTATGGATTTGGATATTTAATTCTCTTAGGCTTCTTTGAAAATCCCAGCTACTCTGAACGGGGCAACTTGGCCATTCTGCCTGGGGCCAGTGGAAAATGGCATCTGGGATGTGAGGGGCTGGGAGTCCTGAGGAAAATGTTGCTATTCAGGTAGAGTCTTTGACCCCCATTGGTCCTGCCTGGGGTTCTGAGTTTGAGTCTCAGGACTGGGAGTGAGGTGGAAGGTGCTGCCTTTCAGGCTGAGTGGCAGTGATCTGTTTTGCCTGGCTTACACGGGATCGGGTGGGTTTTGTTCCTCTCTGTTCTCTTCGTCGTTGAGTGCAGGAGCTGGTGAAGCAGGTGCTGAGCGCCATGTGGGCCATCGCAGGGAATGATGACGTGAAAGACGCCATAGTCAACACTGGAGGAACAGACCTCATTGTGCTGGCTATGAGCCATCATCTTGCCAGCCCTCAGGTATACACCAGTATGTGTGCTGGGGACTCCCTGTGCTTTGGAGCTCTGCGTCTGTCTGGGTTTGAAGGTCTGATTTTTGGCCCATTATTTCAGTTCTGATAACAGCATTAACGGTTCCCTCACCTGCGTTTCCTCCCCAGGCAGTGCTACTCGCAACCCCCAGAACTACTTCTGACTTGGAGCAATGCCCTGCTGCTGCTGGGATCAGAACTGTGCTAGCTGCAGTCGTAGCGAGTAGAATTCTGCTCCCAGCATGGACAGTGTAGCAAGGCATGCATTAACCCCTTGAACGCTCCTGTTTTCTAGACCGGTTACATGTCTACTTTGCAAGCGTTTGTATGACATCCAAACAGTTAACCACTTTCTACCGTACTCGTACATTTATGGTCCTGGACCAGATGGCCGAGGGATTGGAAACTGGATACTGAGCTTTATACATCTAGGTCAATAGTTCAGATCCAGCCATCACTGAAAATCATTCTTCTCTGATGTCTGTGTGCTGGCCTCTGCGTCAAAAGAATATACGGGACTAGTTACCGGCCAGCAAATGTTACCATCAAAACCTCCCACGTCTTTCTCCAGTTGCCTCTTTTATTGGCAAAGCTGAGGTCTCGTGGACAACAGGGGTGGCGTCAGAAGGGGGTGTTTGCCTGGCTGTTGGCCACGCTGTACCTGTTCTGTGATAAACAGAGGCTGTCGTTCTCTAGGCCCATCAAACGGATGTCTCACACCAGCACCAGACTCACTGTGTAAATCCCCTGGGAGATGGCATGCTGGCTCGGTGGGAGACTGGCCTCCTTTCTCCCGGGGGAATAAATTGGGGGTAGGGAGGCTTCAGGGGGGTGCTGACTCTCTTTTCTGGTTGCAGTTGTTTCAGCCAATGATTCCTCTCTTCCTCTTGGTCCCGCAGATCTGTGAGCAGGGCTGTGCAGCCTTGTGCATGCTGGCCTTGCGCAAGCCAGAGAACTGTAAAGTCATCATGGAAGGTGGAGGGGCCCTGGTAGCTCTTCAGGCCATGAAGGTGCATCCAAGAGAAGTGGCTGTGCAGGTACCTGCCTCGGAGCTCTTTATTACTAATCCAGTATCATAGGGTTCCCTGCCTCCCTGGGTTTCTGTCTTTCACCCCGAATCTGTACAGAGTTTGCAGCTGTGTGGTGAAGATAATGAAGTTACGGGTGGAGCAGCGTTCTGTAGTTCTTTCAGAGGCATCTGTCTGTCTGAGCTGCTTGATGCCAGATTCGGACTGGAAATTGTCCTTTGATTGTGTTCAGTCCCAAAGACCTTGCTGTGCAGTTTGCATTCTTCAAGCCGTACCTGTGTCACTAACCCCTCTTCCTGCCTGTGTAAATAGAGCCCTGCGCCCAGCCCCGTGGATGGGGTTACATTCCTTCCAGAGTCTGCCAACCCTACTCAAATTGGTCACAGGAAAGGCAGGCTGCCTGTCCCCCAAGACAAAGTGAGACCCTTTCACAGGAAAAAATCAGCCCCCGTCTCATTCCCTAAGCCCTGTAGGATCCTGTACCTGCTCTGCAGCTTTTCTAAATATTTTACATCATTTAAAAATGTTTTATTTAAAACTTTTTTGCGCTAGAGTGTGTTATGACCTCATAAGAATGGTGACACCAATGGTCCATCCAGCACAGTATCCTGTCTCTGACAGCGGCCAGTCGCAGAGCCTCAGGGGGAGTGTACAGAACAGGGCAATTTGGAGAGATCCACCTGCCTTCTCCTCCCCAGCTCTGGCCGTCAGAGGTTTGGGGACACCCAGAGCAAACCTAGTTATACTTTTGGCCTTCACAACATCCCCAGGCAATGAGTCCTCACATTCCAAAAGTATTCCCAGCGCTCAGTGAATTCAGGGACCAGAATGGAAGGCTGATCGTTTTCCCTCCTTGTCTGATGTCCTCACCCATGTTGCAATCAATGGGCTAACGTCTCTGGTGGAAGGGTGCTCCTGGGCCCAGCTCCCCAGACTGTGCCCTGTGCTCCTTGTTTGAGGGTGGCTGATCTAGAATTAGGAAGTCACTTTGGGATGTTTGGGTTCTGTGTGTGAAGGGAAGGATTTGTTCAAACTGACTTTAACCGTGTGGTCAGACCCTTGTGCTTCTCTCTTGAGTCTGCCAAAGAGGCAGTGAAAGGTCCTAGGGGTGGTGAAGGAAGCAGTCAAGGATGACCCTGGGCAGTTGGCTAGTTTTCCCACCGAAGCAGGTTTTAATCTGTGATCTGAACGCAAAGTAACTGCCACTTCTGTATCTGTGGCTGCTACCCGGCCAGGATCCAACTCGTGCAAAGCACGTTGGAATCTTTTGCATAGGAAGCAGGCACTAGACTAAGTCCAGCCTTGCTGTGCGTGCACCATCTGATTCCCTTCTGCTCCTCCCCATGCTCCCTCCATGAGCCATGAACCGTTCTCCTGTCCCTCTCTCCTCAGAAACAGGCCTGCATGCTGATCCGGAACCTGGTCTCCCGGAACCGGGACTTCTCTCAGGCTATCCTGGAGATGGGAGCTGAGGACTTGATTGTGCAGGCTCGTACGGTGCACCAGGACTGTGACGACATAGCCAAAGCTGCCTTGAGAGACCTTGGCTGTAAAGTGGAGCTCCGAGAGCTGTGGACAGGCCAAAAGGGAAGCCTGGCTCCCTAAACCACTGCCCCCGAGATCCCTGGAAGCTTGGGACATCTCAGTATGCAGCATCTACAGGCAAACGTGGCATCAAATAATCTGCACTTAAAACTGGCCCCGAGCAGCTGAAGAGAATTCCTGGCCTGTGAGGCTATCGTGGTGTGGGCTGTACTACACAGGGGCATCTAAGCTGTTGCTGAGATGGCTTTGTCTGTGTATATAGGCTACAGATATACAGAACTTGTTGTGATGATCTACTCTCTCTACAACTTGATGCCTGGGAAAGACCTACTTCTCCCCTCCCCCCACATTGCTGTGTTACTTATTTATGGGCTGTTCCTATGTGTGTCTGTCCATGTTGTGATCCAAAGTAGATCTCTTCCTGCAGCAGTTTGGCATCTACCATTTTAACCAGCCTCGTCCTACCTCCTGACCCCTGCTCTGTGCCACTGGTGGCTAGCTGTCCCAAAGACTATTTGGGGGAGATGAATGTCCCGTCCTATCCCAATGCTGTTACTAGCGTGCTGTGCATTGTCTCACTGGGTTGGCTATATCCATTTCCATCCGATACAGCATTTTAAACAAATGCAAGGTATTGGCTGGAAACGTCATGGCCCCGTGCGTCACATTTATAATCTCTGAGCTTCCAGAAACAAATGTAAGACGATAGGATTGTTCCACATGTGAACAATCAAATGATAGGTGTGAGAGAGAGCTTTGGGGGCAGGGGAAAAATAGCTTGGTGTGCCACAGTGTTGTGCTACCAGAGAGCCAGCCACCTTTTGAGTCCTTTGCTGGGATCACCAGACATACTCTCCCAGAGCTAAGACTCTTGTCTCGTAGTTGCCTGCTCTTATCAACAGTCCGTAGCTCCCCTTGGAGAGGGAAGACACTATATTTGGAGGAAAGCGGGGAGGGTGGAAAAGATGACTAATGCTTTTGGGCATTTTAAACTGATTATGCCAAGTGTGTAAGTAAATGCTGCTGCAGCTGTGTGGTGTCTGCCTGTAAGGCAGCAAAAGACTTGACAGCCTTGAAAGCCCTACAGGCACTAATTCCATGTGCGGTGTATGTTTGCAATAAGCTGCCTACATCCCTTTCTCAATTGCTTTTTCTGGCGAAAGCTGCATCCATCTGTCTGTCTCTCTGCAATCTCAGTTCAATAAACCCTGCCAGGCTGCACTTGATCATCTCTCCCTAGGACAGGCAGTGACTGGGCTTAACAAAGAGGCCAGAATTCAGCTGTGACCTGGACATTCTGCATGTGAAAGGAGGCCTGGGAGCATTCTGAAGGGGGCATTTCTCTGATGCTGGCCTGCCCTTTTGATACTGCTTCAGCAATGGGTCTGGGATGGGCTGGAAGGGCCAGAGTTGCATCTGAGCACAGCAGGGCATTAGGAAGGATGGATTGGCCTGGATGGATATGAATTCTCCTTCTGTCTTAGACAAGTGTTGGTATGATGACTCTTTTCTGCAGAGTAGCCACAGTCTTTCTCCCTTTACTCCTTCCTGGGTCTGAGTCCCTGGCTCCTATTCAGCTGAGGAGGGCTAGGCAGGGTCTGTGCTGCCCTGTGTTAGTTACAGGGGGATTCCAAACATGAGGTGTTACACTTCTCCGGGGAATGAGTGCACGCAGCAGTGCATGAGGGCCCTGGATCCAGGGTGGCTTTGAGAGAGGATACCCAGGCCCCTCCCAAAAAGAAGCAAAGCAGAGAAAACCAGAAGCTGTTACAGAAATAATATATTTTAAAAAATACCCAGCCCTGGGTGTGTGGCAGTACGCGTTCATCTTCCTGAAGTTCACAGAGGCCAGTTACTGGTGGGAAGGTGGATGTGAGGTGCTTTAATGGGGGTGAATGCGGTTCCGCCTGCGGGAGATCCACCATCTCAGCCTACTGCCCACTTGTCCCCTGGCCTCCTCTGTCCCCCGGCTGCTGCCAGCCTGTGGCTTCACCGTAGATGACCTCCTGAAGATCTTTCGTACCCAGCTTACCAAGGAGCGCAGGCTGAGCCGGGAGGGGGTGAATCGTGGCTCTTCACCAGCCCGGTTGCCAGAGGTTGTGGGACAAGAGTGTGGTGATGGCTTCCCGTGCCCTCCTTCCTGTCCGCTTCCTGATGCTTCAATCTGCAAATATCAATGACAGGAAGGAGTTGATGGGAGGAGCCTTCTCTAGCCCCTCCTCCTGCACATGGGCTGGACTGTCAGCTGTCACTCTTGACAGCAGGGTTTTGTGGGACCATTACAATATTCCTTAGCTGGAGCCATCCTCTAACAGTTCCTGTTGGAAAGGCGCCTTGTGCCCCAATGGCTTTGGGCTGGACACAGGCTCCAGCAGGGGAGGTTTCACGCTCCTGCATTTCTCTGCAATCTTGCTTCTAGGGAAATTGAGAAGCACTATAGTCCCCTTATTTCACTGCCAAGGGCCCTTCCAGACTGAGGGACTCTGGGGGGCTTTATTTTATTTGCCAAAGAACCCGTTTTCTTCTCATCCCCTGTAATAAAGGTGTGACAGCAGAGAAGTGCAGTGACGGAATGGATGTTTATTTCCTGGCCCATGTCACCTGCCATGGGCTAGGGCTACAGGATGTTAATATCCTGCTCCATGGCAGGGGGTTTGCACTTTTAGTAGGGAGTCAGATGTCATCAGCTATGGAGCCTTGGGCTGGGTCAGTACTTGGAGAAGAGCCCTCTAAAGATCAACCAACTCCTTCAAAACTAGAGTGAGTCTTCCCTTGGCAACAGTACCCCAACACCAGGTTAGAAGGCCTGAAACGGTCTATGGAAAAGGGGTGGTTTTGACAAAAATCTCCCAATCCAGCGGTTCTCAAACTGGGGGTCGCCAGGGCTGGCATTAGACTTTCTGGGGCTGAAGCCTGAGGGCTGAAGCCCTGGATGGTGGGGCTGAGGTTACAGGCCCCCCACCTGGGGCTGAAGCCCTTGGGCTTTGGCTTGGGTTCCCCCTCTGGGGGTCAGGTAGTAATGTTTGTTGTCAGAAGGGAGTCACACGGTACAATGAAGTTTGAGAACCCCTGTCCTAATCCAACAAAAAAAGTTTTGAAATGATCAAAATCTCCCTTTTTGACATTTTCAAAATGATTTTTTGTTTTGGAATTTTATTTAATTTACACTTTTAAAAGGCCAAATTGAAATGACCTATTTTAATTGACCTGTGAGAAATGTTTTTGGCTGATCGGTTTGTGTAAAATTTTAATACCATTTTTGTTCATCCTGGTTCAACCTGGGAAGATGATTTTTTTTTTTTTGGAAACACAAAAATTCTTAGGGCATGGGAAACCATTTCCCTCCCAGCTGTACTCTTGACTCCACGTGGTTATGAATGAGCTCATGACACTTCTAAAAAGAGTCAGGGTATATTAACCCTTAGCATGCTGGTCCATATTCCAATTCAGGTCACTAAACTGGGCCTCCCTCAATTCTTCTGGCAGTTTTTCAGTTTGAAGTGCTATTTTCTTCACTTCCTGCCCTAGAAGTACTGTTCAGTACTGCTCAACAGCTGCTGTGCTCCACACGGGCAATGGCAGTGGAGTGCAGTGTGATCCCGCTGTCTTTTATCTACCTTGCCGAGTGGTTTGGGAGGCTCACTCTGTTTTTAAAGCACTCAAAATCTGTGCACGAACAGTGCTGTAGAAATGCAAAGTGGTGTTATTCCTTGATGTGCTTAATATTTGTTAATAATACCTTACATTTCCACTGCCTCTTCCATCCAAGGATCTTAAATCACTTATATCTTAACAAATGACTCCTCGCAGAGCCACTCAGCAAGTATTATTTGCACAGAGAGATTGTACTTTCCTTCAAATCACACAGGGAGTCATTGCCAGAGCTGGGAATGGAACCCAGGAATTCTGTCGTCTCTTCCTCTGCTCCAGCCATGAGCGTGCTCTCTTTCCATGCTCTCTGGATGGAGAATGTGCAACAATGGGGCGTTACCCTCCCATCCTGTTCAGATTTGAGAGCAGGCTGGCCCCTGACAGCACAGATGTTCCAGCACTCCAATGATTAAGTACCATAAGTTGGAAACAAACCAGGAGTCTGGGGCTAGGGAGCATTAGGAGTTATTTCTAGTGCGGTGATGCTGATGGGCCCCAGCAGTGGATCGGAGCGCCATTGTGTTAGGTACTGTACCCCTGGAACAAAGACGCTGCCTGCCCCAGAGAGCTCACGCTGTTAGTATGAGATAAGTGGCTACGCCTGGCAGAAGGGGAGCGTAAGGAGATGCTGCTACATGATAACCGGCGGTCGCAGCACGCCAGCTGCTGGGTTGTTGTCGAGTTTTGCACAGGCGTCCCAGCACAGAGGAGTTTGAAGGAGGGCGAGGAGGTGGCTTTGTGGACATTTACAGGGAGCATCTCCCCTGTGGGATGGGCAGCCGGGGAGAAAGCACGAAGGTGCTTGTTTGAAAACGTAACAGAGTTAAGTCCCATAAGCTGGGAGCAAAACAGGTGTCCGGGGCCAGCTGGCATTGCTTCTCAACCTCACACGTACCTCACAGTGCCCCGTCTCTGGGCTGCGCCCACGTGGAAACCAAGAGCCTCTTTTCCGCCCAGGCACTGCATCCCCTCGGCCCAGCAGTGGGGCGAGCTTTGCACGGCCGCCCTCCTCCTCCTTCCTGCATTGCGTTTGCTGTTTCTTCGGGGGGGATTTTTTGGTGGTGGCTGCAGAGTGTAATGATGTGGGTGCTTTGCCTTTGCTGGGCAACAGGCTGCTCTGAGGCTCTGCCCCTGGCAGTTGTCCCGAGTCTTTCCCCACAGACCCTGAGGGTGTGCGCCCTGGCACGAGTAACTCCGAGGCAGCCTCCTTTGTGAGGGCGTCTTCAGGCTCCTTCAGGTTTTCACTCACCTCTGGACCAAATCCCCTTCGTTTCTCCAATGCTAGATGCTGTTGACTAGAATCTCCGTCCTTTCGACCTTCAACTTCCTTCCCAGATGGTCTGTGTCTGTTGGCTTCAGCCAGTGGTCCCCCGCTTGGTGTGGTGGGATTGCTGGGGACGGTCTCACAGGTCAATGTTTCACCTCGATCCCTGGAGCCCTGAGTGGTGTCACTGGCTCTTGTATCTGAGACCTTCACGTCCTCCTCGGGGCACCCGCTGCATTGGACGCTGGCATCACAGCTGCTTCCTTCCCTCCCTTCTGCGTTGCCCGGTTGAGAACTGGCACTGCGGGGCGGCGGGTAGCGTGGGAGCTCGCCATACGTTCTGTAGCAGGGGAAGTAGCCGGTGGAGACAGCGGAGTCGCTCAGGATGGAATCCTCATCTAAGGGGCAGTAGCTCTCCGAGTCCCCAGAGCTGTTCTCAGGGTGTTCTAGCCTGGAGAACAGAGGGGTGGTTTTACCCTCTATCTCGAAACTCTGTGAGATCGAGCCCAGCTGGAAGGCAGAAACAAGACAGCTCAGACAATATAATCGTCCTTCTCAAACCACACCTGCCTTTGACGGGATACTGGCTAAGCACCACACTTATTGCGTCTTTTCATCAGGCCCAATCCTGCAACTTTCCTCCCCCGCTACGCACGCCACCCCCTGAGAGCCCATTTGCCATTGCTGTGAGCAGTGGTAACTCCAGTCTTTGTTTTCTGCCCTAATCTGCTGGGGAAGGTGACAGTGAAACTGGGTTAGCCCAGAGGTGGCTGTACTGGGGTGGGGGTTAGCAAAATGATTCCCGTTTGTAACTTGCATATTAGCTTGTAGAGCTGTTTGGGATCATTTGAGACAAAAGGTGCTATTTACATGTCAGGGGTTTATTGTTATAACCATAATCTCCCTGCACTACTTAAGAGTTACGCTCCCGTTGACTAGGTGAACTTCCTTCATATCTATCTGATCAGTGCGGTGCCTTGGGACCATTAATGCATGTTATCCTTGCAACTCCCCTGTGAGTTAAGGAAGTGCTCTCCCCATGGGGGCAGGTCTTTAACCCTCTGATCACCTTTGCCTTCTCTTTAGTTTATCCATATATACTCCATGGGAGGGGCATAACCCTAGAGACACTACTTTTTCTTGCTTGTTTTTTCAGATGGATTTGTTTGCCGAACATGATTGTATTGAAGTCTTCAATATCTACCTTCCTCCCTACCTAGTTGCTCTTCCCTTCCTCACTGGAGTATCTGAGCACCTCCACATTACACACGTTGAATCTAGTTCCCCATGTTAAGTATTCTCACACCTCTTGTCAAACTGTCTGTAATGGGCTATCTTGATTATCACTACAAAAGTTTTTTCTCTTAATTAGCCTCTTAGAGTTGGTAGGACAACTCCCACCTTTTCACGTTCTCTGTATGTGTATATATATCTCCTTACTATACGTTCCATTCTATGCATCCGATGAAGTGGGCTGTAGCCCACGAAAGCTTATGCTCAAATAAATTTGTTAGCCTCTAAGGTGCCACAAGTACTCCTGTTCTTTTGGCGGATACAGACTAACACGGCTGCTACTCTGAAACCTAACAAAAGAAACAGGGTACCTCACTCATTCTGGACTCCAGCTGTTCCTCTGTATTGCTAGTGAATGGCGTCCAAAGCTCCTGGTGTCCACCATCACCAGAAATCTCCTTCTGTGCCAGCCCTGAACATCCATCTGCAGTGATGTTGCCTGGGACATCTTGGTGTGGTTCCCCTTCCTCCTCCTCTTCTTCCTCGCCCATCTCATGCAGCTATGGAACAGAAACATGCAGAAGGATAAGAATCGCAGACCAATGCTTTCCCCGTTTTGCATTCCGTCCGCCTTCCAGCATGTTTGAGAACTGCCACGGCCATCAAAGGAAAGGAGAACTTGTAGAGCAATGACTCCTAGCCCATGGCTCTCAATTCGTGTGTGTGTGTGTGTGTGTGTGTGTGTGTGTGTGTGTGCACAAAGGGTAAGCCACATATGAAGCACTGAGCAAACTAACCAGTGCTGTGGAAGCAACTTGGGGTCTTTCCTGATGGAGATGAGCAAAGGGGCCTCAACAATCCCCTGCCCAGCAGCCAGGTGGTAGATAATACATACGCAGAGACAGAGGCAGGGCAGCATTTGCGCCCTGACATCCCAGCAATCTGCAAATATGTCCTGTCACAACCACCCCACGTCCTGACACAAACTGTGTAACACGATGTCAGGGCTTCTCGCTGGGATTAGTCTCGGGGGGTGTGATTCTGCCTAAAAGCAGCGAAACAGCTTCCTCTGAGGGCTGTGCAAAAGGATGAGGCTCCAGCTTGTAGGTAATTGACCCAACATTCTTTTATTTGCTTTCAGTGGTTTCCAACCCTTAAGGTTCACCATGAGTTTTGGAACCAGAAAACTCAAAACAAAGCTCAGTCTAAGCCACCAGTTTCACTTGGCCTCCCCCTGAAATCGGATCTAAACTCAGGCTCCCTGAGACGCCCCTTCTCTTTCCCCACCCTCATTTGAATTTGGCAATGGAAGCTTTGCTTGGCAAGGTGGGGCCTCGCTGTCATAGTGGGGAAAATTCC